GAAAAATATGTTACTTTATCAAAAAGGGCGCTGACATTTCCCAAAGCAGCTGGGCACTGTAGTTTTTCGCAAACGTTAATCAAACCAGAACAAATAGCGTATTTGTTTAGATCTATTTTCAGCTGCGGATTAATACACATTCAGTGTGTTATAGCTTGTCTAAACAGGATGTGTTGCAGCTGTGCTTTTCAGTTGCCTGTCTCATGCAAGTCTGAGGAAACACACTTTTATAATGTATGCAGCAGCTAGAAAACCGCAGAACATTTCCAAACCACATTGGACAGGGGTAGCACCGTTTCTACGCGTCAAGTCCATTTTCTTCTGTTTGATGCGTTTAACTATAGTGATTGTGTGACCTACACTCAATACTGTGCCTGAATGCATCTTTTGTAGACACAGATGGAGGACTCTGCTAACATGCTTTCGCTACACGAGCTGTGCAGACATTGTGTAAATAAGTATTTACAGCATGTAGCCTGTGTGAGGTAGACTTAAAATAAACTACAGTACCTATGTTCATTATCAGGGGGATGCAGAGGATATGTCCCCTTTAATATTTATAACATGTGCATTCCCCCCCCTGCCCCAATAAAAAGAAAAAGAAGAAAGAAAGATGCAGAGGACTTTTATTTTGATAAAATTAAAGACATTTACACCATAAATTGAGGAAATTGAGGACTCTTAAATGCTGGAGCCAACTCACTGAACCAAACCATGTGCTGCCATGACATTGTGGGGATTTGGGTTTAGTTAGTTTGGCTTTGTACTTAGCTGTAGTTACCGTCCATTTTAGTTACCCCTTGTGTATTATTTGGTTTGGCCAAGCCACTATATGTGTTCCTTCGTGTGTCTATTTTAGTTAACACCATGTTTAGTTATTATTTTGAGCGTATTCATGTTGTGTTGACCTCTTTTACAGGCCTAGCTGTTTATTTCTTGGTCTGTAATTTTTAGGTAAATAGAAACCCGCAATTATGTCAGCAACTCCTGTGTCCTTGTTGCCCCACTGCCCTGTCCCTAACATCAGGATATTAAATGTTTCATGCTCGAAAATTTCTTGTGGAGGACCCCCAAACCTCATACTTTGTATGTGTCACCCCCAGTGTTGAAATGAAATTTGCACCCTTGTTCATGGAAATGAAGTAACATATCACCCAGTGCAACTGTGTTGTTCATGGATGTGTTTTAAATAGTTTTTCGAGCAACACGCATTATGGAACAGAGGAACAAGCTATATCAGGCTTCAGACAATACTTGCTGTTGCATGGCTACTTAATAGACCATGTGGTACATTGTTTTGTCAACTACTAATTCCAAGGTCAAGGATGAACTTTCTATATGTTTGTTGAGAGTATAATGTACTATAGGGGAGATAAAAATGATACACAAAACTACAAATTTGCGGCAAGATATTATGTAAATACCAAACAACACCAACTTATTAAACAACATTTGCATGCCGAAACGAACCCATATGGGAGTGACAATGTGTTTGCTGCAGGAGGCAGAGACATTTTCTATTCTAAGCATCTGGGCAGGAGAAAGGCGAGCGACAGGCTACACACCCAAAGGAATTCACCTTTCACTGAGAAGCATGCTCTCAGCAGTTGCCACGGGTGACAGGGGAAATGTCAGGGACTTTTCTTTCTCCTTTTGTAACTCTTAGCAACGAAGAAGCACCGTATATAACGGCAGGCATGTTATGGTGTTTTCTTGCAAACCCTTTTTCCTGCAGAAAAATGACATCCATCCAGTCAGTGTGAGATGTGTCTCTGAAAAAACTCAGTAGTATACCACTTTGCTGGAACAGCATCCACCACTGGCACTATGGTGCTACCGCTGTCCAGTGTGGTTTGGATAAAAGCAGATGCTCATGCAATTAATTGCCCCATCCACTCTCAGATGTGGTTTGAGGGACCAGTGAGGCCTGTAGTGTGTACAGAAGCTTGTCCCCGGGCTAGTTTGTATGCAGACACATTGCTTCAAATTCTGAGCTAACATGCACCTGCATTGATTAGCACTCTCTGTCCAGCTCTGTTATAAACGAGCTAAATCTGGTGTTTGGACTGACAGTTTGATCAAAGGAATCACTATCATCAGTCGTGCACCTTGTCAGACTTAAAGGGAAGAGTTAGACACTTTGGGAAACATGCTTTCTTTCTTTATTGCAGAGTTAAATCAGAAATTGACACCACTCTCATGTTTGCACAAGGTCAATATAACCTACAACCAGTTTGCTTAGCTTAACACAAGCTTGGAAACATGAGGAAACAGCTAGGCTTGCTCCAGCTCAGAGGGTGAAAAATCCATATACCAGCACTAAGCAAGTTAAATAGAGAATCAGATTTCTCGGAAGTAGGGTTGTATCAAGGAACTTATCCATGGTCTGTGTATTACCTACAGTAGATGTCGGACGGCATGCCCCCAATTTGGAGAAGCAGGAAGGCCAACATGGAAGCTAAGCAGTGGGGGGTCGGCGACAAAATGTATTTAAGCCACCTGTAATAATGTCTGCTATATTTTGGTGAATCTAACACACCTACACAAAACTGTTTGAGGCAGCAACTCCTGTATTCAAGGATGTTAAGGAACTGTCATTCTGAATGGAGCCTGGCCTTCAAGAGAACGATGTAACAGCTTCATTTCCCCATCAGATTATTACACTTAAGTTCTTATATGGATTAAACAGACCAGACTTAATGTGTTAATTAGTGAGTTTAGAATTGTTGCCAAATTTTATCACCTTTGGACAGAGTCAGGCTTGTTGTCCCTGCTTTCTGTCTTTGTGCTAAGCTAAGCTAACTGGCTGCAAATTGTAGCGTCATATTTAACGTACAGATACTAACGTGGTACCAGTCTTCTTGTGTAACTCTCGGCAAGAAAGCAAATAAGCATATTTTCCAAAATTGGAACTATTTCTTTAAAAGTTAAAGTCCAACATTCATCATAAACCAGTATTGTAAAATATATTTTGCACACTTCCTGAAGGCATCATATGCACATTCACTCTTGCACTACTACTTACCACATGAAATGTGACTCACTGCCTCTCAACAACCCTTCATCACAGACCACAGCAGAGGAGAGCAATAAGGAGTTCATGGCACAAGATGAGTGGATTGAGCTGAGTTAATTTTAATTTCAGATCACAGCACTTCACTTTTGACAGATGAAAACTCGTTAGCCTGACAGAGATCAATCTCAAACTCAGTCTGTCCCTTAACCTCAACCTTCTTGGAGATAAAATAACCCACATTTACAGCAGGCTCACATACTGCATAAAGTAAAGCACTTTTGATACACACATTTCATAACCAAGAGCAAAAACCAGTGGACGTGTCTGGAAAGCTAATGTACCTCCAAACAGATGGCCTTGGATGGCCAAGCCGACAGTATATGAACAGACATGACAGGATACAATAAAACTAGTTAGGCATGAAAATGGACAATCCCTCCTTGCATGGCCATTAGAGCTAAGAATACCCTAATAAGTTTTATTTTGTATTTTCAAAGGAAAGTACGTTTAATGATCTGTGAAACAAGCTTCTGCAAGAGAAACCCACAGTGTTGGTAGTTCACAGACAGAAATGTTGAGATGTTCTTTGATGTTTTTTTTTTCCAAATAGATTTTACTTCATGATTCTCAGCACTGACCACTTCATTCTCTCTGCTGCCAGCTTTCATCTGTTTTATACAGCACGAGGAGCTAGAATTAGATTCCTTGTGCAAGGGAGCAAAGTGCATTTCATTTTAGGCAATAATATGCCATCAATTTTTATGAAAGTACCGGCCTGTGATTTTATATGATTCAACTATATTAAACCTTCATACAGAACATAAAATGGACTAAAACAACAGGACTGGACATCAAGAAGCTTTTTCAGCTGTTCTGACAGAAGATTTGCTGAAATGATCTAGACAGTGCTGTCACTGTTCATCAAACATGTTACAATTAAAACGACCTACAGAGAAATCACACACAAGCGAATGACACTGGACTAAACCACTTTAAAAGATTTTAGATTGGCCATAGATTGTATATGTTCTGTATAATCAAAGAATACAACAGTTGAGAAACTGATTGAAATCGACAACAAGGCACCGACAAGTACACAATGCAAAGCTTAAAAAAGCGATGCAACTGCTGTGATGTAAAGACACACAGTAAGCTTGCCTAGTGTTGACAGTGTTGGTCTTCATCAGCAAGCAAGTTCGCTTCACTGTCACTGATCTGTAGACCTTCAAACTTTTTATTATCCTGGGCATCTTTAGGACTTCGCCGTGTCCATGCTGCTGCACAAGTTGACCATTACAGTTTACTCTTAAAGGTCCAGTGTGTAGGATTTAGTGGCAAGTAGCAGTAGCGCTGCAGAACTGAAACTTCTTACATGTGCCAAGCAGGCCCCTAAGAGCACTGCTCAGCCTTGCCTCCAATTTTACAAGAGGTCACTTGCAGTATAGCAGTGAAAAAAAATCCCCTGCAGCACTTTCCCCGAAGACTACCATTGTAAAAGGGACATCTGAAAACCTGATAACAGGACACCTCGAAGTGCAAACAGGGTAAACTATGACTCTCTCTATTATGAACTTTTGATCTATAGAGGTTTTATATTTGTAAAACTTTTCTTGACCCAAGAAAAGATATTTGAAAATCTGATGTCACCACAATGTAAAATCTATGAGCTAAGTGGGAACTCACAGACGGGGCCAGCGGGAAAAACACTACTGTGCATATTCAGTGGACTGGATACTGCAGCATAAAACTCCGACAGGTAGAAAAAATTTTACTGGTGTATGTGCCTGGCAAGCAACTCCGTTGGACTGAACAGGCGCCATCTTGGGGTCTGGTATCTAGCAGAGCATGTCAGAGAGATAGGGTTGTCAATGTGAAAAAGCAAATGGCTCAGTCTAGAGTCAGTGTTTGATTTGTCTGGGCTACTGTAGAACAAAATGGCAGACTCCGTGGAAGAGGACCTGCTCTGTATAAAGATATGCATGGCTCATTCTAAGGTAACAAACACACAACTATTCTTATTCATACATTTGTTTTCTGTAACCACTTATCCTGTTATCCTGGGGGTGCGGGGGCTGGAGCCCATCCTAGCTGACATTGAGCGAGAGGCGGGGTACACCCTGGACAGGTCACCAGACTACCACAGGGCTGACTCATAGGGACGGACAACCATTCACACTCACATTCACACCTACGGCCAATTTAGAGTCACCAATTAACCTGCATGTCTTTGGACTGTGGGAGGAAGCCGGAGTACCCAGAGAAAACATGGGGAGAACATGCAAACTCTGCACAGAAGGACTCCCCACCCTGGGATTCGATCCTACCCTAATTTTGAACCAGGAACCCTCTTGCTGTGAGGCGACAATGTTAATGTTAGCATTGGATGACTCTAAATCCTCCACATTAGACTTTTAAAGTTCCACAAAGAGCAAGTAAGTGGACCTCGAGTAGAGATTTCTTTTTCTTTTTTAGCATAGTCAAGAATGTGCTGTCAAGCATGGAGAAAACTCCTAAACATGCACTGAAAAGTGGAAAGTTTTATCATCCACAATTCTGTGACAAACTAATTTGCAGATGAAGACCATGTGATATGGTTTGAAAGCTCCAGAAAATGGTAGTAAGTGCTTGAAGATTGTTTTGTCAGTATGTTAGTGGAATGAGCCTACTGCTGCTCTCGTGACTAACAGAATGAGCTACCCATTGACTGTGTGACGAAAATCACTACTCTGGGTTGTTTATCCGTTTGTTGTTGTGTTTTCATCTCTTAGATGTTTCTCCACTCTTTAGTTTTCAGTCCATGCAGCATATTTCAGGCCATGCTGGATTGTCACACAAAAAGGAGTGTTTGTTCAAGGCACAGCAAGAGAAATGAATGAACTACAATCACTTTACATTCAGTTTCATGAGAAAAACTTTCATCAAATAAAAACAACTCCAAAATACAAAACCTGCAAACACACAGACAGCAAAGCAATGAAAATAGCATTTAAAACTGGATATTATGAATAAGGATAGAAATGCATACCTCATTTGTACAACATAACATGCAGTGGCGTGTCACACAGAATACATTAATGCAACTAAAACCATGGTACAGTATGGTAGTGCTTGATTTTTACTGTTTGTATTTGGGGAGAAAATGTAATTTTAGCACAAATATTTACCAACACTAAACAAATAAATAAATAAATTGGAGCCATTATGGCAACATAATAGTTTAAGAGGTAACATACAGTGTAGTTACTTTCAGCATATTTTCAAAATGTTCTAATTTCAGGATGTGCTTCAAATTTTTCCATAGCTCACACAACTTATAGGAATAGTTCAACATTTTGGGAAAGAAACAAATTTTGTTTGCTTGCTGAGAGTTAGATGATATAAACTATCTGATATAAGCAACTTATCTTAGCTTAGCATAAAGACTGGAAATGGGGGAAAACAGTCAGCCTGGCTCCGTCCACAGGAAACAAAGCACAATAAAGCACCTTTAAAGCTTAATAAATAACATGCTATATCACATTTGTTTAATTCATAGTAAAACTAATGTATAAAATGTATGTTTTTTGGGGGGGCTCAGTGGCACATGAAGCTGATAAAGCTTGATTTTTGTGGTATGAAATTACTTGAATTTTCCATAGAGCAGCGGCTAACTTTCAGTTTAGCACTCTGCTAACTTGAGTGAGGATAAAATGATTTAATTGTGTGGCTCTTCTCGACTTTCGAATGTTATCGGATCGGCTGTATCATATCCCAATAGTTAAACAACTCATTTTGCAGGGGTTGTGACACTCAAAAACATTTATCCACTGACTTACAGACGTTTCTTTCACAATTTAAGTCTGCGGGAAAGTCTTTTTGAGCCCATGGCATCAAGTGACAGACCCTGACATTGTAATTCTATGTTTGGCCACTATGTAAAATTGGCTTCAAAGCCTGGCACGCTTATTTGGGGCTTGGTGACAATCATAAACTGTATAAAAATAATGGACTCCTGTTCCGCATTATGTCCATCACTTTCTTTGATTTTTGGAGTCATAAGTGACCCGAGGTAACCATATTTGGAAAGATTGTGGAGCTGTTGAGGAGCGAGGGGTGGATCTGACTCATAGACTGTGGTGAAGCCTTGCAGACAGCCGGTCACTCCACCGGCTCCACCCTTAATTATATGTAACTTTAGGCGTTCAGAAAAAAGTGAATGGGTGAGTTAAATACAAACTCACAAACATACAGTTGTCATTAATGTTGGAATTAGCTATAAAGACCGGAAAAGTTTTTGTACTAGGCTGTAAACATGTTTATTTCTACTGTAAAGTTGGGCATTGTAACATGGGGGTCTGTGGAGACTGTTTTGGAGCCAGCCTCAAGTGGCCATTTGAGGAACTGCAGTTTTCAGCACTGCGTCGGCTTCATTTTCAGTCTCTGAAGTTGCTACTTTTTAACAAGTAGAATTCAATAAGTTACTGTAGTGACGTGAGTGTTTCCAGTCTTCATGCTAAGCTAGGCTAACTGGTTGTAGCTTCTTGTGTACCGTACAGACATAAGATTGGTATCGATTTTCTCATCTAACTCTCTGCCATTAAGCAAACCAGTCTAAGCAAAATGTTGAACTATTCCTTTAAAATAATAAACAAAAATTTAATTGGATCACATACATAGTCAAAACAGCATAATAAGGGAAAAGTCTGATTAAGATGGGACAGCTCTGCAAATCCTTATACAACCTCCAGTAGCCCACGCCCCAAACCCAAAGCACAATATCAATGACACCAAAAATACTGTAGCAAAAATAGCAACCTTAAATTGATAATAGTTACAACAAGCTGCAGGTACAGTCAAGCTGCTTGTGCCTCCTTGGAGAGAGTGTACATATATTACAGTACATCTTGGCCCTCCGTCTGTCTGCTCTCTCACTGCAGATGGCTTCACAACTAGCTGCCCTCACCCTCAGCCTCCTCTAGCTCTGCTGCCGAGGAACCAGATATCACCCGCGCCCAGACCACTCTGTCAGTCTGCTGGGGCGAGCCTGCTCACACCACCCACTCTGATGGGAACTTTCACCTCCGCTCATGTCCAAGTGGCAAGTATGAACAGAGTATCTGTGATAGCAACCCCAAGGCAATTCCACCCCAGTCTCTTTTAACCTTTTTAACTTGCAAATGAAGCCATAGAAGAAGAATCCCTGTCACAGAGCATCCAATAGTTTAACTAAAATAATCTGTACATTTAGGGATGTGTCTTCTGTGGAGACTGATGTTTGTGTCCATGAGACAGGTTCACAAGATGTTTTGGCAAACTGCTGTCTATATATATAGATAGTGATGTTTACATGGATCGTGCTCCTGTATTCTTAAGCTTCTTTCCACATCAGCTTCCCCATCCTCTCTAACAAGCCCAGTCTGGTCTCAGGGTCTGAGGCAGCTAAGTTGGAGTCTGAGGTCAGCATTGCGGCGTTTAGCAATCCACAGGTGAAGGACACGTGGAATTAGCTCGTGGGGGATTTGGCGTTAGTGGAACCCAACGGGGCTGTCCATAAGTGGGCTGGAGCAGTAGGGGTCTGGGGGATCTTGGAGCTCAGTCTCATGAGTCTGGGCGTGGTCCTCCTCGCACTCCTCTTCCTCTGCTGGGCCGTGGCTTGAACTCTGGGAGCTGGCCATGGCGCCGTAGCTGTGGTGGGCCGGGGAGGGCATGGGAGTCAAAGCCAGCTCTGGCTCCAGCAGCACGGACGCCACAAACAGCTGAGGGAGGAAGATCAGCATAGAGTTAATGATGGTGTCACACAGTAAATCACTTTATTCACGGGGAGTATATGAGGTGACAGTACGTTTCAAGTTTGGGTTTGTCTTCCCACCCTGAACTTAAGATGTAAAGATTGCACCAAGTTAAGATCTTAACAAATTAATGAGTATCCATATCCAGGATCCAGTCCAGAAAATGAAGTAAAGGGCAAAGATCGCAAATCCAGTTTTGTGAGACACTATAACCTTTGACTGCTTTAAAGGATCAGGCAGCTGCATGTTTTAACTCAGTTATGGAAATACTCAGATCCTTTATTTAAGTAAAAGTAGCAATACCAATTAAGATGCAGTGAATAATTGATTCATTGATTAGTTGTCAGCTATTAAATTAATTGCCAATGGGTTTGAGTAATTCATTAGGAAAAAAAAACAAAAAAATCTCTATCTCTAATGTTGTCCTCTGTACTGTAGTGAAATAGAAGTTTGTTGCATACAATGGGAATAGTACCTCATAAACACACTATTTTATTCTACACTACTGCATACAGGAGTTTTTTCCATGTTTTAACCCATCACATATATGTACATTATTCCAAACATTTCCCAAACATATAATAGATTATTAGAGTGGTTTTGATGCCCATGCAGGATTTGAGATTCAAATCATAACAAGCAAGTTTGTGTTTTGTTCCTTGTCTCTCTTCTGGGGTTTAGTCTGGGACACAATTGGTCATAAATGCAACACTCTGCAGCAGCTCAGAGCTTCCCATTTAGTTACAGTAAATGCATCAACCTGGAAAACTCCTTAACAATACCTGGTGTAACTTTTGCACATATAAAACTACAACTATCAAAACAAGCAAAAATACTACTATGAGCCTGTGACATATGTTGTGTGTAATAATGTGATACTGTACACTGGAGGCAGTGGTGGATGTTACAGTAGATCTGTCGCCATCACTGAACGTCCCATCTGCCGGCTGATCAGACATCTGAAACAAAGAAAATGCACGCTACTCATTTAGTGTTAGCTCATCCTCAACTAAACTTAGTCTCTGTGAGTTATGATGGAGCTGACCTGGTAGCTTGTCGACTTGTCTGGTTGCTTCCTAAGGCACAAGCGGAAGAGGGAGAAGGCAATACAGGAGAGCAGGGACACTAAGGTGAAGAGGCTGATGGGATGCGTTGGACCTGTGATCGTAAGGGATGACAAGAAATTTTAATGTCACAATGTTTTAATGTAGGCTACACTCACAATCCAATGACTGATAGAAAGCAGGAAGTGATAAGGTACCTAATCTGAGCACAGAGAAGAAGAGCAGCCAGAACATGCAGAGGATGGGAGCCAGGATAACCTGGCTGATGGCTGCTCTGTGGATCCGCTGGCTGAGTTTGGTGGGAACGTATGCATAGTAGATGTTGTATCGGTCGACCATGTGCTTCAGGATCACATAGAGGAGACCTAGAAGGGCAGAGGAAACATGATTGAAAATACTACAGCATTCTTTGGAAAGATAGAAAACCCTGGTATGGTCCTTAAATGTCCTGGTAATATTTTAGATATTGTTCTCTCCAGCCTCCACAGGACCCCATACATAATATATGTATATCTATCCATGGCCTCAAACACTGAATATTTACGTTGCTCAATGGAAAGTTTGATGCAATGTCCAATAAAATTATTGTGACATGGTTACTGTGAGTTGATTTAACAAAACAAAAGAAGAGAAAAACAGTATACCAGTTACCAGAGGTGGAACCAAGTCATTGTTTTGCAAGTCAAAAATAAGTTTCAAGCCTCTGCACGTAAGTCCCAAGGCAATTTGAAAGTCCTAAGCTTTGAATTTCGAGTCCTAAACAAGTCATAATGTACTCCTCAACAAATGTAACGCAAATTTAACAAGATTGTAAGATACATATTAAATTTATAAAAATTGAGAATGCATTTAAGAAATATTTTGATTCAACTGTTAAAAGTTTGTTAAAAAGTTATTTAGCTGTTAAGCTAATGTTAGCTAAGCATAAGTTCACTGACTATGTTAATATTTGCCATGACTGACTGTAGCCCCCTCACTCTGACATCTCTCCACTTTGTGCATGTATAGGTCCTGTTTGTGCATGTGTGTGTCTTTCGGACCTGTGTGTAATTACAAGCAAGACTGAAAACATTGAATTTCCCCTCAGGGGAATTAATAAAGTAAATAAACTTAAACTTAAACATGCCTTTATCTGTAATTTTCGACTAGGATGTTTTGCATATTTGCGCTCAGGTTCTCTCCTGCAGCTTGACTGGATGCTGTTGGCTTGGTTCAAACAAAGTGGATCTGGGGAATTAGGTGTTGACTTTCTGGGAATGAATGGCGTTAATGTTAGTTCAATCAGGAAGTGAATTTAATAACGGCACACTTTTTAAATGACAGGTATCAAGTATTTTCAAGTCAAAAGGCTCAATCATGAGTCATTGGTGTTAAAGTCCAAATTGAGTTGCAAGTCTTTTTTGATTTTGTCAAATCTAAAGTCATCAAATTTGTGACTCTAGTCTGACTCGAGTACAAGTCACGTTACACGAGTCCACACCTCTGAGTATTACTATTTCAGATTTGAATTATCATTTAAATTGTATTGATATCAGCGTTTTAAAAAACTCACAGCAAACACTGTCCAGCATCAACCAAAGTTCTAGGAGCAACAGTCTCCCAGGCTCAGAGGCCGACCCTGTAACATGGTGTTGTTTTGCTATTCCCTTGTTTACAGAGTGGGTGCGCAGCAGGCAAACCCAGTGTTCCTACTGGTCCCTTGTCCTCAACTACAGAGATACAGTCAATCAAGTGAGAATTTCAAATGCTAAATGCTATTTTTTAACGTTAATGCACATTTGATATAATTTTCATATGTTCACATCAGATATGTTATTATTTTAATGTTAATGTGAACACAAAGTGCATAGCGCTGCTAACTTGATAACATTGATACCCATGATAACGTTGGTCACTGTAATTGTTATACGAAATTTTCACACTGTTTTATCTCTAATTAAAATATGCCTTAAAACAAGCAATTGCTGTATGTTTTTATATGGTTAGTGTGCCCTTGAGGTTTGGCAGACAGGTTACTTGTGTTGCTTCTTTTGGATGTACCCAGTGAGGTTCAACTCAGCCAATGTGCAGAAAACAGCACAGGTAAAATGCACAGAACAGCAGGGCAATATGTCTGAAAGGGTTAGATTGGACTGAGGATTCGACTCCAGTAGCAAATAGAAGCTTGGTGAGCTCTGGGCAGAGACAGGAGCAGAGTAGGCGTCTGGCTCGCAACTCAGTGTGTCTGGGTGTCTGGGACTACAGCAGCAAATTCACACAGTCTGCATCGGACTGGCAGGCAGCGGAGGAGAGTGAGGTTACAGTGTGAGGGGAGACGGCACACACACATGCACAACACTAAGACGGAAGGTGATGAGATGGAGAATAAAGACAGAAAGAAGAGGTAGATGAGGATAGAGGAGCAAGGGTCACCGTATGTTGCTCACCAAAGGGCGTTATAATGGGACATGTGATGCTGTAGGTCATACTGACTGCAAAGATACACATGGTCCAGGCGTACTCCAGGCCAAACTGGAACTCATAGGCCTGACTCTGCGGGTGGACGCACAAACACAGCAGGATCTTTAAACAGAACACAATCTAATGTACCCGACATGAAACTGAGTTAAGCATGAAAGGCTCAGCTGACCCGTCTGACATGAATGCGCTCAGCTTGGGACTTGGCGAAGCAGAGGCGGAGGGCATACACCGTCAGCGCTGGTATACGAAGCAGCTCCATGGATGTGCCGATCAGGCTGGATGTAATCACATAGTTTACGAAGAATGCACCGTTGTCGGGAAGAAACACACACCTGCAAACATTGAAGCCTGAGTGTTTGGCTGCAACCAAAATATCATTTATGACATATTTTATTTCATTAAAAAGAGTAATCTTACTGGAATTTGACCTCCTTCTCATCCAGGAAATGGACATCAAAGAGCCATGTGAAGAAAAGGTCCAGGCTACAGAAAGAACAAATAAAAGCAAAGAATAAAAAAAAATGGGCAAAATAAAAAAGAACTGAATATAAAAGTTATACATTTTGAATCTGTAGATGTGCTGTAAGTGTACCTGGACAGACCAAGTGAGGGCAGGATGATGACCATGAAGACCAGCAGGAAAAAACACTTGTGCATTGTTACTTGGTTCTCACCAGATCTGAGAAGTTAAATGAATAACATGGGATCATCATGTGATGCATATTCAATTATAAAACATAGCAACGCAGTGCTATTCCACATCATAAATCCATAATGTGAAATAATGTAATGCAAAGTCAGCTGATTTAAGGGACTGTTGGGTTCATTAGCACGAACTACGCTTTTCACTCCAGTAAACAGCTCATTTGCATTCGCTCCTTCGCACATCACGCCTGCACAACACGTTTGTGGGGGTGGTTATGTAAAGAAAAGGGTGCTCATAGGTGCTGCGTGAGGTTGTCTCCTTATGCACAGTTGTTGCGCTCCTCCTCCTGCTAGTCACCATGTGCTGTTCCCCAGCGCATGGTGACTACTGTGCATATCATTATCCTCACATGGAGATCTCTATGACAACCTGCCCAGAATAACAGTGCAGGGAGAGTGACAGAGAGAAGGAGGGAGAGAGTAAAAAGAGCAACAGGGTGAAAAAGAAAAAAAAATAATTGAGAGGAGAAAAAAAAATGCTGAGAGTTGAGAGGAAGACAGGCAGCTTCAGATGAAGGGTCCATTAGAAGAAGCAAAGGCATTTCCATTTCAGAGGAGAGTGGTGGCCGATGGGTGGTGAGTACCTGGTCCAGTGGGACTCAAAGAAGGCTGAGTAGTAGACGATGAAGGGCAGGAGCACTGAAAACGCCCAAAGCAGGAGGGTTGGGAAGAACTGGGTAATGACAGGGCTCTGGGTTGGACAGCAAATAATTCATTAATGAAACAGCAGAGGGTTTAAATGTAGCATTCAGGTAACACAACTTAATCTCAAACTCTGACCCGCAGACTGTCCACAGGCCTTGTGACGTTGAACTTGTCCATTGTGTTGACAATGATGGCGGGGGTGGTGAGGAAGAAGAGCAGCAGGAAGAGGAGGATGTTGAGGAGAACACAGCGGAGCCACCAGCGAGATCCGCACACTGACAGGTTCTCCCTGGTGACGGGAGAAATAATGAGCCTCAATTCACAATCATCCAGCAGGACAGACAGGACATTTAACACACTCCTCTCCCCTGACACGCCTGCACTCAACGTATTGACAGAAGCCTAAAATAGCCGGCTCAGTCGCCTCTTGTATGCGAGTTGGCGAGCGTGTTTCCACTGCACTGGACTGGAGAGCGCGTTGGGAACGGCACACTTGAACGCTCAGTTTTAATGAAGGAACTAAAGCACCTGCTCAGCCTGTGACTGCTCCAGTCGTCTAGTTAGTGCAGGAAAACACATCCACACACAAACGCACTGCAGCCAGTCGGGCGTGCAGCACAAACAGTGAGCGCTACCATCTCTTTGGTTAATATCCCATACATATGCATCACTCACTTGTTACATAATCTCGCTGGGACTGCTGCATTTGCTTTCCAAGTTAAGAAACATGCAATAATCCAATCATGGAAAGGGAATGAGCTTCACATGGTGTTAGAGATCTGCTTCACACAAGCAACTACATTCTGATACATCTTGACTGCTGCTGCTGGAGCTCAATGAAACAAAGAATAGTTATGCAAATGCAGATAAAAAGCTTAGATGACCAATTTGCACAATGTATAACTCTTGTCTAAATAAACAGACTCTTTAAGCTCCATCATTGCAAGCTAATGCAGCATCGACAAGCAAAATTACAGTCCACTGAACTTTAAAGTCTCACCACGATCCAGAGGTTACCAAAGATACCAAATATGTCAGGGTTAATTACAGGGAAATGTGTCTAAATGATGCATTAGACATGTAAAAGTGGATATTACACTCAAAATATGTGTCCGCGTGGGTTTGCTCCCAGTGCTCCGTCTTCCTCCCACAGTGCAAAGACATGCAGGTTAGGTTAATAGATTGTGCTGTAGGTGTGAAAGTGAGTGTGAATGGTTGTCTGTCGGTGTACCAATGCATGCTGGGATAGGTTACAGCTCCCCTGCAACCATGTACAGGATAAGTACATACAGTATAATGGTTGGATCTCCCTTTCTTTTAAGTGCTTAGAAAATTAGTGTGATGTTGTTGAGGCACCAAAAATAAAAACTATGTGAGTTTCAGTGATGTTGTTACTGACCAGATGATGTCACTAGGTGCAGGTGCATAGCCGACCCCCCATTTGTGCGACTGCACCACAGTGGTGATGCTGGACTGCTGCGGTCTGCGGCGGCAGCGAACGAAACCGTAGTCCTTCACAATTCTGGAAAACAAAACAGGATGTACAAAAGTGCTGCAGAAATCGGCATCAGTGCTCAGTAATGCCTACTTTTACACCACTTCGTGACTTTAATGGTTGCTCCCTGCTGTGACAGGGTTTATTTGATGAGAGGAGCTGACAGACATAAACCTCCATGTCACGCTGACGTTAACTCACACAGCAGTCATCCTCTCATCACGAAAAGTCACAAAGGCGATGCCCAGCCTCTTCATGGAGATGCGGTTCTTCTCAGCATTAAACTCATCCGTACGCTTCTCTTCTAACTCGCTGTAGTACTGTTCTGCATCCACCTGCAGAAAAAAGTTACAGCACACATGACTCACTGCATCTTTCACTCTCAGAGAGATCCCCAGATTTACAGTGGCAGGATATCTAGCTGCTGCATGCTGCTACTTCTGGATTGCAGTGCCATCCAGTGGTAACATACTTTCTGTGCAGCACAACTACAGAGACATTCTCCTACTAATCATGATTATGCATATATAAAGTACCTTCTCAAAGCCACAGATGTCGCAGCAGAATATCTGAGCACACGGGTGAGTCTTGATCATGATCTTTCCCTCCTTTTGGGCCTTTGTGGCAAAGTACAGCCTTCCTTTCATTGCCTTGCGCCTGCAAAAACACAGCATCCTCAGACAAAAGCCTCACACTGATCCCCAACTGTGTTTCGCCAATGTATCAGTGACTGTACCTCTCTAAGTCCAGCCTCATCAGCTTGTGGACATCATAGCAGAAACGGATATCAGTGACAGTACAGCTGGGGTAGGCCTCACTGGTGAATAGAGCAAAAGGAGTTAACCATAATGAAGGTGATGACATTGAGCATGTATAACAATCAGGGCTTACTTGTGACATGAGTCAAACATATGAGGCTTTAACTTAACGATGAAAAAGAGAAGAAAACATGTACTGGAAGTGTTTGGTGATGAGTCCTGGGTCAGAAATCTCTCTTGGTATGGAGGTTATCATCAGTGTCCTGGCTACCTGCAACACATAATGTAACCACCATGAGAAGGAGCTATAAAGTGCCAAATGAAGTGAAGTGTAAAATGAATAAATAAATAAATAAATAAAAATAAAAAATCACCACCTTATCAAGAGATAGATCAGTCATATATGGAAACACATTTCTGCCAATGTGATGAAAAAACAGAAGATCCTGCAAGTCATTATAATCTTTAAAAAAAGGCTTTAGTATCTCAAAATGATTTAGTATCACAACATAATGAGAAACTTGCACAAAATAATGACTTTGTATTGCAACATAATGGAAAACTTTTTTGAATTAATGAGGAACTTCCTCGCAATCACTACTTAGTCATAACATGAGAAACCTTTTCAAAATAAATGTTCTCAAATTACTTATTATTGCAACATAAAGAGAAACTTTCTCAAAATACAGAGACATTTTCTCAAAATAATGACTTAGTATCTTAATATAATCGAAAAGTTTCTTAAATTAATGAGAAATTTCCTAAAAATAATGACTTAGTCTCGCAACATACCTTCTCAGAATACTGAGAAACGTTCCCAAAATAATTACTTTGTGATGTAGTTTTTGAGCAGATACCTATAAAACTAATGCCTCAGCTGTATTTTGTGTTTGGCCCTGATTAGCATGCTAACATGCTAAACTAAAGGCACTGACTTGATAGGATGATATATTTGCAGTGTAAAAATGGCCTCGATGCTTAAACAGTATGATGTGTTGGCGACAGACCTTCTCGTCCTCTCTGTACTCCAGCCGGATCAAGTGGTGAGCCATACACAGCAATGTGATGATGAAGTAGACCAGAGCAAAGATGCTGTGGAGCCACAGAAAGCTGTCCCTGTGAGGCACAAACACCCTGCTGCAGTTTAAACCAACACAGATAATCCAGTCTTTCAAGGTTCTGTGCTGTTTCATGAGATTTGATGTCATACGTGGAGTGTTAGACTTACTTTGCGCTAACATTAGCCAGTGTTGTTCTTCCAAAGTTTTCAGGACTGTCTCCTGTAGAGATAATGAAACGTGACAGAGAGCGAGACATTTTAATTTTCTAATGACTTTAAGGAAACCCCTCCTCCTTTGTCTGGAGGCTGAGGCAACAATGAAGCAATGTCACTATTCAGAGAAAATGTCTTCCATCTAGTTTAATGAAATCTCTCTCATCTCAATGAAATTTCACACAAAATTCAAACATCGCTGTCATGCCTAACTCTGCTGTTTTACTTCGGGCACCCTTTGTTTGCTGTTGCCATGGGACCCTGTCATTGGGTGTTGGTTTATTTAATGACTAGGGTGACACACTGGTTCATAAGATGACAGCCAGCAGTAATAAAAACGTTTCTGTGGACAGCCCAGCTCCTCGTAGACCCCATAATGGCTCCTGCCTTCATCCCACTATGGAATGGCTTACTCAACACTTCCTATGAAATAAGCACACAACTGCCAAAAGGCATTTCTGTTGCTACGTAGCAGCTAATTTTCTGCTCCATCCCACCCCTGACACCTACATGTGTATGTTAAGAGGAAATGAAGCACTTTCTATTCCTATAATCCTGGGCTTGATGAGCAGCCACTGGTATGCTAGCAACTCCCATTTGAAGAAATGCAGCCTTTGTGTATAAATATAGTAGTTTCACTTCATAATGTTGCTTTGTGGGTCATTTTAAGTTAAAATGAACTTTTGAGTTGATGTCAGCTTTGATTTAATTTGATTTCTGCAATTCACTTTGGCTTTTTTTTAAAGCTCGGCTTCACCGCAGATTGTTTTAAGCTAAAGTTTTGGTGCATTTAACCAATAAATCCTTGGGTGTGTAGATGTGTGTGATTGTCTCTGTGTGGCCTGGCTGCTTTCCCCACGAGGTGCCCCATGCGCCTCTCCTGAGGTTAAGGATATCCCCTGGTTTTTCAAACAGTCAACCAGCTAGACCGTCATGTGAGGACTAAACTACCCAGGAGGTTCCCGGAAAAGTTGACCGGCAGGATCACGGCCAAAGACAGCAGGCAAACCACTGTCATGAGCAGGATGATGTGGCGCTGGAAGGACAGGTATGTGACGGCGTCAATGCCACATTTGCTACGGATCTCTTCATCCCTGCAGAAACAAATAGAGAGGAAACTTTTTCATATCCAAGAGATCCAAAACTCTTTGTGCTACATGACAAAAAGAAAGTTCACGCAAATTAGTCTAGATGTGTCCACACATGCACGTGATGATAATCAGACCCATGCAATATTAATCTACCACATGTGCGCAGCTCTGTCTACTGCCAGGACAAATGGGCCTACGGCTTATACCTCATTGTGAGTAAAACTGTGGCACCACTACTTTGGTGCCAGTAGCTGTGGTTACCAGGCGGGAGGTTCAGGAAACCCAGTGTCATAAAATAGAACAAAAAAAAGCATAAAAAAAAAAAGAAAAAGAAAAGAGGGGCATGCTGGTCTCATGGCGGCCCACACATTGCGAACTCTCAGGGTGGGTTTTGCACTTTCCCAGGGATCCCAGGGTGAGCCTCTGGTACGGGAGCTAAAAACAGAGGCACCCAAACTCCACCATAATACTATGGAAACCATGGGTACCGTGGAAATCGACTTTTTACAGGCCTAAATCTATTGTGTGCAGTCAGACTGGAGAGAGAGCAAATATTCAACGGGAAAACCACGGCACCAGCGGTCGCATGAGCCCAGACTCGTTTGTTTTTGCTGCTAAATGAGATATAACAAGAGACTTTACATTTGCCGGTGACATCAGCTTTGAAGACTGAGGGCCAATAAAAGGATGGAAGCTAAGATGAGAGAAGGGTGAAAATAATTACAAAGGGCAACTGCTCTGTGTACTTACTTCATATGGCAAAGTGATGAGAGCCACGAGCAGAAGCCCTGAAAGGAGAGGAGAATCATAAAACACCCAATGGATTAGTTATTAAAGATAATAAATGACATATGTATGCAAGTCTGTGCACACCACATCTGGCTACTTGCATGCATCCACTATTTGCATAGTAATAAGGTCTGCAGAGTGACACAGAGGGGGAGATTTAATAGGTCTAGCCTGGAGCAGTAACCACTTTACTGCAGCCTCAGCTTTGAGTAGGCACAGGGCGATGACTCCAGTCTGACTCTTTTGTCTTACACCGTTATAAACATGCAGGGAGTGACCTCAGTCTATCACACAGGTGTCATGGAGTCACAGACGGTCCAGCTGAGTCATGAGCCAAACTTTCCCCTTACAACAGTTGACGTAATGCCATCTTAGACATGTGGACTTCGTTGTAAAAGTGCAGTGTGCTGCAGTTTTAGACACCAATATATCACTGACAATTTCACTGCAACACTTTGGTATAATTACTCTAAATAAATGAGAACACGATCAGGAAGTCTGGTAGACTGTTTAACATCAGTGTTACTGTTCATTGGCTGAATAGCGTTTCTTAAAAATGTGTTTCTGCATTTCCCATAATGCCTTCTCCTTCATATTTTGCAGTGTACAAACAACTGGAGTCTGTCAGTCCTCTCCTCAAACACCATGATTGTTTACCCTAATTATACTATTTGTGGAACTTTTAAATACCAGTAGTGCTGTAGAGCAGTGTTATGATGAGAAAGTCCTTTTTATTGTTTGCATGTGTCTGCTGGCATGAATACTGTATGCATGTGCACATGCGCAGGGTACATGTAGGTCACCTTTTACCTGTGACACACAACTTTGCCTTAGTTGCATCCCACATGAAGTAAGCATCTAAAGGACTGTCTGACTGCACTTGGCTTCAGTTGCTGTGGACATGAACAGTCTGTGTGTCAAGGTGCACTGGCTGGCAGCAAAGGAACTAATAGTGGAAAATATTTCCATTGTTAGGTATGAAGCTGTTTGGCTAATCTTGTTCCACACCAGAACTGAGGGCAGCAGAGCAGGAGACGAAATAAAGAGCATCAGATGGAAATAAAAAAGCAAAAGCCAAATAAAATATTTGAATATTTGTGAGGCCTTTTTTGGGTGACAAAACTAAATTCAGAGGTGGCAGTGTTTTTGTAACACCATTAGCTTTGACAGCTTATTTTCGCCATGTTTGCCATATGTCAGTGTGTGCCTGTTTACACATCCAGTGGACACGGAGCAACATTAGCATTCGTTCAGAGTCGTGTTTGTGTCCATCTGACAACTGTACGTCCAACATTCACTCTCCTTTTAGCTCTGGTCTTGTCTCTTACAATCAAATTTTTGATTCTGCTAAATGCGTCACAAGCCACTTGCTAACTTTGTATGCCTGGTGTTTGGTGCAGGTTGGAGCATGCAGTGGGTTTATAAGAGCTTTTTATAATAATAGTAATAATAATAACTTCATTTGTGTATCACTTATCTAAACAAGGTTACGAAGTGTTTCTTAAAGTGCATAGAAATAAAATAACAATACCATATTTAAAAAAAATGTTAAGAGCTGAGAAAAATAGTGTGCACAGAGGCAAAAATAGAACAAAAGGAAATAAAATAGAAAAGTTATAATTCAAAAAGTACAAATCAGGCATTAAAAGGAAAGCTCTCTGATTTAAAAACATGCGCTAACCAGCCTAATCTTCTCAGGCCTCGATGGCAAAAGCCCTAAACCATGTTGAGCTTTAAAAGTTATTATAAGAATCTTAAAATCAATTCTGAAGTTAAGTGGCAACTGGTGGAGGAAGGTGAGAATTGGGGTGATATGTGACCTACGATTTGTCTCAGTTAAATACGAGCTGCAGCATTCTGGACAAGTTGATGCAGGGCTGTTGCAGATTTACTGAGGCATGTAAACAATTTTTGCTGAGCATTGTTCCCTGTGGCAGTAGCACCCCCAAAAATTTTCATAGGGGTGTCCAGACGGAAACACTGAAAATCATTGGGTGGCACACGAAGAGCAGAAGTCATAAGTGAATTTCAGGAATTCTATTTTGCTGTTGAAGTATATAGGCGATTTGAAAACTATGTCAAAATGAAAAGTTAAAGAATCATGATATGATTTGTATCTGTTTGTTTCTTATTCAACACATTATGTTACTAATAATGTGATGTGCACAGGTTAATACTGGTAAAGTTAAAATTCTGAGTTCCACAACAATCCTGTTTTAATGTATAAAGTATTTTCACATGTTAGATGATTAATTGTTCTACAAACAGGGTAGTTTTCCTGTTCCTTAAGAAGACAAATATACAGCTTTACTTTAGGAGTACACTGACTTTAAGGAACAAAACATTTACTAGGAACAAGCCTTCTCAAGTCTGAAAACACCACACAGAGGCCTCCCATTTTAGCAATTTTGATGGGAATGCAGCTTGAGCGCTGTAAAACCAAAACAATGAGCTAAGAGATCCTAAAAACACTCCTTATAGCTGAAAGGAACTGCAGAGTTGGGAGATACTTCTCTGTTGTTTCGTCTTCCTCTGTGACCCCTCTCACACTACACAGTTATTTGATTCATTGTTAATAAAAATGTGAATTAGTGCAGCTTTAAGACCTTTATCAGGAAAAACCTTTGCCTGATTAAAGTCTAATTACAAAATGCATTCAACATTTTAATTAGACCTTTAGGAAAAGTGTTTTGTTGAGAAAGGCTGCGTGTGAACAAAACAGTGTTTGTTTAGGATAAAATCCATAGGGTACATTTAATTGATCTGGAGATGCTGTTAACAGTTGCTCTGTGCTTTAGGGGGCTGACAAAACAAAACTCACCATGTCCTTGGTCTCAGAGTCAGAGGGGCTGGACTCTGATGGAGACTTCTCTTTCTCACTTGGTTCTCCATAAAACAAAGACGTGAGACTGAATAGGGAAGACAAAAAACAGCATGATCATCATATTGATTGTGGCATGACACGTCCTTATCATTACACTTAATATGTAACTCAGTGCTGTAACAACACAGCCATAATGTAACTGCGGCAGACAGTCCCACAGTCTGAAACCTATCCCTGTGTGTGTGTATACATAAAAAGACATGAAACACATTCAGTATGGCTGAATCTAATAACGCCAGTGTGATGATTGAGTTTGTGGATATTTCTCTGTGGGCCCTACCACTGACAGTTCAACAGCGTGTCAAATTAAGCAGCATAATTGAATTAGTGCAAGAGAGGACCGCTTGGCAAAACACACAGATGCTGCTTGCCCTTGGGTGCTGTGGAGCCGCTGTCGGTCAGGCAGAACTAATCAAGCCCGCACTCGCCTGGAGAGGAGACTCAGGTCAAGCAGAGGAAAACTGCTGCAGACTGGCGCAGATGGCTGCGTGGACCTTCACCCATTTTGTATCCTTAAAGATATCTGATTAATGATCAATTGTTTAAACTCTGCTCATAGTTTCTTAATGTCAACATTTCCAACGACAGTGAATCATATCCTTCCTTAACAAGAATTGTCTGTAGCCAAAGCTTAATCTCACGCCCTGTTGTCCTAAATACTCACACGCACCAAAAGCATGTTAATTTGCAGTTGAAAATACTTCCACACCCTTATTTACTTGTGTTTGAGTAACATTTGCTAAAAAAATACAGTACCCAGCTTGTTTAGGAGATTACTGAGCTTTTATAAAAATGAAAGATTTACCTCTCTACTAGAAACTTTGGGTTTGGTACCACAGGCAGGGTAAAAAAGTTGAGACATCTGTTTTGATCTTTTTATAGGATTTGTTGACAAAAATAAAAACATAGAATAACACTAGCCTTCTAACATTGTCCTTAGAGTTATTTATCAAGGTGAAGTTGCCAAAAAAATCGGCTTTTTTTGGCTCCTTAAATGTGACAATTTGCTGCTTTTCTCTGTTTTATATAGGTGTAGACTGAACATCTTATGCTGTTGGGACAAAATTAATAATTAAAAAATATCAGTTTGGAAAGTTATGATGTTATTTTTCACAATTTTGTAACATTCCATATCTTAAACAAAACAGAAAAATGACTGGACAAAATAATAATGGAAATAATTGTTAGTTGCAGCCCTAATTTTAGAAGAGTGAGAAGACCGTACCATCCAAACCAGTCATTCTGTGTTTACATATGCTGTGTATGTGTATGTCTGGCCCGTGTTTACACTTTGATATTTCCATAGTCAACATAAAACGCATGAATAAATAGCCACAGTAACAACAGATGGTTATTAGAAGCAAAGGCAGAGCAGCTCTTTGCAGTAATTCGCCTCCTTGCAGTACCGTCTATACCCAGCAGAGGGAGCTGGAGGCTTCAGCATCAGGGCTTAGGAGTGGTTCCACTGAGAATTATTTTTCCATCTTACATGTCATGGCTCACAAACCATCAAGTGTATCCAATTTTAAAGTGTAAGACAGCGAGTGGTGGATTTACCTGTCATTCTCCATGAGCAGAGCCAGGCGGCCATAGTCCCAAGCAGCCTTCCTCAGACAGGAGAAGATGAGCAACAGGAACTGCAACACAGGACATGAACATGAATGCAGAGCTCCTGAGAATCTGATTTACACACTTGCACACATCCTCATCTGCTGTGGGCCTACAGTTATATCATCCATAACCTTTGGATAAAAAGCTCAGCTCTGTCATTCTCCTAAAGAGCCCACAATTAATAGACAGCTTCAAAATGCAGCAGGAGTAATAAGCCATCTTCTTTCTTTAGAGTGGTACGTGGTTGTCTTGGAAACTACCAGAGCCAGGTCAGCACGCACAGGCGAACACATGCTGTTCACTAATGACAAACGAGCGTGGTCAATAGCAAAAACAAATCTGAATAGCCTTCATTCTGCCACAGATGTAGAGCTTAACCGCAGCATCACAATGAAGATTAGAAAAAAAATCTCTTTGATGACATGCAGTGACACATCACAACAGTGATATGCTGAGCTGGTTAAATATAAAGAGCTTAACTGGGCAGTGATGGATGAGTGTTGACAAATGCAAATTGAGTAAAAGTGCTGATGAATGTTTGATTTTGATTACAGCATTAAATCATTATCTCAGATTAGATGACATTTGGTGTGGTGGGCAGGGATGACAGGCATGTTCATAAGAAGAAAGCTCCCATAAATGTTGAATGATTCATTCTCCAGTGATCCAGAGCCACGCACAGACAATCGGGCGGCCTTGACTCAGGCTTGTAGCTGAATAATGAGTACGTGTTCGCATTAACAGTCAGGGTCCAAACTCTTTCCTGAAATAAGAATCTCTCCATTATCTTCCCGGTGTCTGTCTCCTCCCTGTTGTTTTACTTCTTTTGGTCTCGATGCGTGGGCATGCTCTCCTTAAATCCCACAGATGATTTATTCTGTATGATGATGGAATTGATGCAGAGACGTGCTCCCGTCACCTGGGGGGGGGGGTGCTTTGACTCATGCTTGTCATTAAGAGACACCGCTCGACCCTCTGTGTTGTCTTGACAACCAGGCAGCGATAAAATGAGCCAATTAAAAAATGGAGGTGGCAGATTGAGAATGATACCAGTGTAGAGATCAAGCTTGACAATGTCTGACAGGCTATTATTATCTGGAGACAGGAGGAAAAATCTGCTGTACTATGACTGTAAACACTATATCCACTGTATTGTACTATGTGAGAGGAAGATTACAGTTTGATATTTATGACATGCACATAATGTTTGTTTGCATTTGTGTGTGTTTTTTACATTATTATGTGATTCAAAGCCAAGACAAATAAAACGTTCCTACGTGTTTTGCAAGGCAATGCTTCATTTAAAGTTTGGTTTAGTTCTAAGAGACTTTTCCCACATAAATAACAAATTACAGTTCCTGGCCCACGCTAGGTACCATCCTGAGACAGTTTTTGGATGTTCAGGGACAGCGTGTCAATTTACGCTTGTTACATGCATCGTGTCTTTTCAAAATACACTTCTGTTTTCACAGGAAATGTACAGTTTCTGCTTGTTACATACATACAGTCTTTTGCAAAATAAACTTACAGTGTATGTAACACACCTCATTTTTAGGTTTATTTTCGAAAGGTTTAGGCAATAAAAGTCTGTGGTTAGGTTAAGAAACTCACGTGATGTCACATCAACGGACGTGTCACTAGCGTTGAATGCTACACACACTCGCACACTACATTCTCATTAAAATAGCTTGACTGACTTTTTGTTGCACACTAGAAATGAACAGTGGGATCCCAGGTGAAAGTCTGGAGTTAGTCTGACCCATATGCCTCCCCTCTTACTTTTACCCTTTACAGACTTTCCCACTGTTTATACCACAGTGGATGGCAACAGTGTAATAGACTGCCGCCACCTAGTGGGTATCATGCCATTGTGATCTGTGGCTCTATGCATCTGTGTCTGACGCTGTGGTCCACTGACAAAGTGGCGGTATTTGACAAGTTGTATGCCTGCTACCACCCGGTGCATATTGTACCGTAAAGAAAGGTGCCTCTGTGAGTCGGTGTCTGACACAGACATCCACTACCAAAATGGTGGTATTTGACAAGTTGGGAGTGAGAATGGGCTGCCATTTCAGGTTTCTACTTGAAGTGCTTACATGTTTTAATGGTCAAAAAACACTCTCTGACTAAACCGCTCTGTGCTAGCGTCTACCTCTTTAAGACGCCCTCCTGAAAAGCCCTGTCTGCTCTGACTGGTCAGCATTTTCAGGTCTTCCGTGCATTCATGGGGATGACAGTAATGGAGTAGAGCAGCACTTTCTACTGTGAAAAATCACAAATAAAACCTTCAAAACACAATCTGATATATGGAGGAAACTTGTGCAAAGAAGAAGATGCAGCAGATAGGCCCCAGTCCAGAGTGTGACCCCATGACCATCTTGACAGTGATAGCTCCTTCACCTCCTAGAACCGTACAAGACTTTGGCAATACTAAATCCCCAGTTTACTTTTTTTTGGCCTGTTACTGTTGGAGCACACAGCATGAAACAAACCTTTAACAGAATTTGGAAACATAAATAACTCAGTTATCATTGTGGAGCAGTTCTCCAGCACTATACGCTAGCACTTTCATTTACATGAGGGACTTGTTAGGGAAGGAGCAGAGGTCGAGGTGTCCTAACTCCATAGCATGGGTCAAGCTTCAACAACACAGAGAAATTCAATTCTCTTAATATAACTTAGTAGCAGCTTCCATTATACCTTCCCAGCTGTCTTTCAAACTGCAAGCCTCCAGCCCGGACTGCAGGCTTTTTGTTAAAAATGTTGAGTCTCCAAATCCAAGACGAGCCAACCCTGACGACATCTTTAGGATTTTTTTTTTTTCATCTAATTATTTTTATCAGACTTTACAAAGCTCCTCCACAGTCTCAGAGGACATTATACAACTGTTTTAACAGACTGAGTGACAGTGCTAATTGGTAGTTTTCAAGTTAGACAAGTAAACTGATCTTAAGTCTAAAATAGGTGGAGTGAGAAATACAAGGCTCCACACTTATTCCTAGTTTTATTCCCATCATTTCTGCCTTTTTGTTCACTTTTGGATTACAGATTTTGCCTTCAAGCAGCACCACAATCATACACTAATAATTATAGGAACTGTCAGTGCAGACATGCCTATTGCAGATGCAGAGTTATATAGTCTTAGACTTTTATCATTTGGCTTTCAGGAAGTGTGGTAAGGGTTAAAAGCAGTAAGATTACAGTTACATTTAGGTCCATGGCAGTGACGTATACACAAAGTCAGTAGAAGGACCTCTCAATGAGTATAAAAATGAGCAGGTGTGTGTGTTGACATGTTTCTAATACTTGGTACGTCTGCATTCATTTCACACATTAATGTGTGATGTCCAGCACTACTAACACTCCTGATGCTGTTGTCGTACTTTATCATCATCAGGAGCAGAGTGAAGCGCTCCAGACAGGATGTCCATTAGATACTGTATTTTTACAGAAGCAGCCCTCTGACCATGTATCACCTCTTGTTGTCTGTTTGTATCATGGCTCTTCATAATATCTCAACGGGGTGTTGGCAGCTCTGGATGTGTTCGTGGACCTTGTTATCAAGGCCCTCTAAGCTGCAGCAGCATACAAAGAAGAGATGACTCGCAGTGTAACATACAGCTAATAAGCTTCCTGTTTGAGAAAGCAAACATGGTTCTAACTAGAGCTCAAACGATTAGTTAATTTATTGGTTTTTCAATTAATTGTCATATGATGAAATCATTTTTAGTAATTTCTGTTTTCCGTTTTAGCAGTTTTAGCTTCTCAAACATGAAAATTCTCCAGTTTTCTTAGTCCTCTATGATAGTAAACCAAATATTTTTGCTTTTGGTCTGTTGGTTGTATAAAACAAGATGTTTTACAGCCCAGTCAACAGAACAAAATGAGGCCATTTCACGTTTCTGCAAACCATATGTTACATACGTGCATTTCTAACTTATACTATCAAAATTTCTGAGGTGACGCACTATATGAGCTGACTGTCATCTAGATGAAAAGGGGATGGTGGAGGGCGTGTCACCTATAGGCCAGGTGCCTGCCAAGCTGCAGACAATAGAACTGGTTGTTGTTTAAAGAGTTATTGCTGTGTTTTTAGTTGCTGTATTTTAGCGCCCCACTGCTTTTTCGCCACCAGGGATAGTACCACTGAGACAATAGAAAAATGGCACACACAAACACACACACACACACACACACACACACACACACACACACAATGTTTCATGGCTGTGGCTTTGCTGGAGTTAACTATGTAATGCAAGTATATTAATGGTGGTTGGGTGGGTGGGTGTGAGTCTGTACCATCCAAAGCACGACATTGATGGCGAGGACAGTGGGTATCCCTCCAAACGGCAGACCCTGGAGGACGCTGCTGCGGGAGTGCGAGCGGTAGCATCTCTCTGCGGTGCTGTTTTCGTCCCCAAAAGAGTCCAGGAAGCTCAGAACATCCAGCTCCACAGCTCTCCCCTCCACAGGGGGCGCTCTTGTCACAAACAGCTCAGAGTGCGCCATCAGCACAGGACCATACCTGAAGGAAGAAGACAGAAATAAAGAAAGAAACCATGATGATGCTTTTTTAGCCTTCATGCATACCTTGGATTTTGCATACACTGATTCATAGTGCGATTCAGAGGTGGGACCAAGTCACTGATTTACAAGACTTTGACCTCAAGTTTAAAGTCAATACCCAAGTCCGAAATGTTGAGTTTTGAATCCTAAACAAGTCATAATGTCTTCTTTACCAAATGTGTTAAAACAAGTTTGTCGGAAGTTGTAATTTTTGACCCGCACGTTTTGCATACTGTAATTCATTTTTGATGACCACCATGTAGTTTTTGTACACAAACAAAATTATCATTGGAATCATGTTTTCCAGCTGTCACTCAGTAGTGTTCTTCATGGTTATCTTCTTTAACTGGACTGGATTCTGTCAAATTGGTTCAAACAAAGTGTAAAGTCTGACTTGAGTACACGCCATGTGCAGTCACATTGTATATGATAATTAATACAATTTCTGTAACAATACAATAATTTTTTTGCAGATTAATGAGACACTCTTGCTCTAACTTTTGCTAAACAACAGTGTGCAAAAATAGCATTTACTTTAGCTAACCTACTCTTTAGCATTTAGCTAAAGTGCTAAGCTATTTCTACTATAGCACAAGAGGAAAAAAACTATACATTCAGCTAACTAAATCAATAAGCAATTTGGTTTGTGCATCAATATTACTTAAACTTTGCAAACTTAAGCCACCATAAGCTACTACTGGTCGTACCAGACCAAGTAAGGCTGTTGCAAAAACCCCACTGAAAGTATTAAAGTGAGATTCACTTAGTTGATTGTGTTTCTTCCGTAGCATGATGCATTCACTTTAGAAAAAAAAGTATTTCTAAGTTTTTCTAATTATCTCAGAATTCAGACAAAAGTTTTCCGGTGGAAAAAACATGTTCTTGTTTTTCTGAATTAACAAATAATATCCTTGTTAATACAGGGAGGCTAGAGCAGATTTTATCTCTCAAGTGAATACAGTACATTTCTGTAGTGTTATAAGAGAACGAATGACTTCTTTCTTCTTTCAAAAGTTGCATAACCTTGCTTTAAACAGTAGTTTTAAGTGTTAGTCATGTCATTTGTTGTCAGAGCGTCCATCTTTTCAATACCTACTCATCTTATACAAGCCTGTATTTACACAGATTGACAGTTATGATATTTGTGGATTTTAATGGAGACAGTGGGTTCTTGGTTGGTAGGCTGATGAGCAATGAAACTGTAATTTAACGGTCATCTTTTTTAACATTCAACTCTCAGACAAGTGTCTGCCACTCACTCTAAGTGCAGTTATGATAGCATTTGCAAGTATCAGTCTAATGACCATCTCAGTCCATTAGCAGCCATTGATCTGTTTCTTTATCTGACAAGTGGAAGTGAAGACGTCACATAAAAGCGACAAACTGATTAGCTGACAGGTAGGCTCTTTGAAAAAGCATAATACGTGACAAGAACATGCTAACAGGCCATTCACCCACATAGACAAGAGCATATTTCTGTTGTTAGAGCTCAGTTTAACAGTACAAGAGTAAAAGCTTAAACAGGGTATTTTACTGCGATTCTGAACAGCTTGTTGACGATTGGCACTTCCTGTGTATTTGCCTCTGTCTATGGAAGCATGTGCAGGATATGATCATTCACACTGCCATGACCACAGACTGGAGGCCTGAACCATCTGTCCTCCAGCAGCACACACTCTCCTCCACACTCTCAATCGATACAGTCCCGACTCCCAGCTGCTCAGCTTGTGTACACTCCTCACTGAATAAACAGCCTGAGGAAATGGAGTAGCAACAGAGTGCTGACAAAGCTTTGCATCAATACTGCCATTCCACTTGACTGAAAGGTATCAGTCATTAGATTTCATGGGAAAAACGGGTATGTTGAGAGATGTTACCATGGCAGAGAGACGTACTCTAACACGCCGCAGCAGTAAATGGCAGCCAAAACTGCATCCCAACCCTCTGCTGTCAAACTCTCACAAGAGCTGCGAGGTAACACGAGACTGAAGTGGAAAAAAGAGAGAGGATGCTAAAGGCCTCCAAACTGGCACACATTACTGAACCCTCAGTGTGATTTATCACTGCGCCAATGATGTCACTTCCTGAGAAGCTCCATCACAGCTTTGTGAAGCATTTACCAAACAGCGCTAATTGTGCAACAGAAGCCACAGCAGGATGCCTAGTGTAGGAGGAAGAGCTGATCAATGGCAGTGCTGCTGGACTGCTGTACATCTCACTGTCAGAGAGGTCTGGAGACGTACACACGAGTATAAAAATACAAGACAGTAATCTTCCAGCAGCTCTTCCCGCACCACTGTAGTCTCTTCCCTACTTCCTGTTGTGAAACTGTATCGCAGTCAATATTCAGATGCTGTTAGATGCACAGCATCTGAGCCTCCCCGTGGAGACGACTGAGGAGATCTCCTGAGGATGGATCACAAAGCAAATCCATAACGCACACACACACACACTCTGCAGAGCTGCTTCCACAGAGGCTGGTGTACCATCCAGTGCATTACGCTTTCTCTCCCTGCCAATAATGAAATAAGCCATCGACGAGCACAAACAGATTATTTTACAGCTAAACATTGATTAATAACCACATACAGTACAAGGACAGAGCATGCAGCTTCGTCACTGGCATTTAATTCACTGGAGTCTTTATATTATACACTAGATGATTAAGTTTTTGTGTTATTTTGTTGACACACTTTCAAACTAACAAACTGATTTACCGGAGACTTTAAAGTCACGTGATCAGTGGAGCATAATAAATAGAATAAATTAACCAAAGCATCCAGACTGAGTCTCTGTAGTTTTTATTTAGATAAAAGGCATTGCTTGGGATGACACCATGGTGATACTGTTTGCAGTGTTTGCCTGTTTACTTTAATTAATTAAATCATCATGTTGAAAAGCCCAAAACGGACATCTGCAGGAACAAAATAAACTGTTCGGTGTCTATTTTTACAGATAAGCTGGAGAAAAATCAAAGAGCAGCACTGTGAACTAGCTAGCTGTAAACCGGAGCTCTAACAAAAATTTGACATGCACAACCTTAAACAGACCTTCATCGGCTCACTGAGCTGTTCTTCTCCCTGCATCAGGCGAGTCATTCACTTTGAACGCTGCCAACTGCTGATGCTAACAGTAAAACTCTCCACCAGAGCCGAGCAGGATGCTGAAGGATACAGGCTGACTATGGTGTGGTTTCACACAACATTTGGACAAACGTCACAGCTTGACGCAGCAGTTTAACCACGAGACTCCGTGGATAGTCTTTCTGTCTCAGTCCTCGTATATAAACACTCAAACATGGTATCCATTTCCTCGCCAGCTTATTGAACTCTGCATATCTGAATTCTCTCTAATCCTTTCCCTCTGCTCATTTCTCTCCTCCTCCTCCCTGACTCAGGCTTCCAAGCCAACGCAGCAGATTACAAACTGATGTTTGGCTTGGGAAGCAGCATTGTGCCTCCCGCTGGCAGCATGAGTAAAATCTCTCCTTTGTGCTCAGTTAGACTATTATCATCACAGATACTGAAGTCAGTGCAGGAGCCGCGAGCTGGTGATGAGATATACCTGAGTTTGAGTCAGAGAAGGAGAAAAAAGGGAAAACTGTGGAGAGGAAAAAAGCTAGCTCAGGTCCACTAATCTGCTCATTGCACCAGAAAAAACAGCTGAGGTATCTGTGTGTTTGCGTGTGTGTGTATGTGTGTGTGTGTGTGTGTGTGAGAGAGAGAGAGAGAGAGAGAGAGAGAGAGAGAGAGAGAGAGAGAGAGAGAGAGAGAGAGAGAGAGAGAGGATGTCAGTGATACAAGGTGATACTGACAAAACAATTAAAATTGATGTCAGAAGATCGAAAACTTGCAATAAACCCTGATTCAATCCCGATAACTCTCATCACTGCCTGATAATATTTGATTAAATCAGCGTCTGATACATCCTTATGGATTGTTTTAAAGCATTATTATTTTGGTGGTGTCACAAACTATGCATTTTGGCTTTAATTGTGCATGTTCTCCCTTTGTCAGTTTGGGTTTTCTCCAGGTACTCCAGCTTCCTTCCACAGTCCAAAGACATGCAGGTTAATTGGTGACCCTAACTTGCCCGTAGGTGTGAATGTGAGCGTGAATGGTTGTCTGTCTCTATGTGTCAGCCCAGGGTGTACCCTGCCTCTTGCCCAATGAAAGCTGTCACTTAAAAAAGCCTTCTGGATATGCTCAAGAAAACAACAGGGGGTTGCCAAAGTCAGTAGGGTCGGTCCTCTGGGGACCATTATGCCCTACACAAAAAAAATCATGACAACCCATTCAACAGTAATACCAAATTTCAGTCTAGACCAAAGTGGTGGACTGACCGACACTGCCTTCCATGGCTTAAAACACTGGGCAGATAGAGGAGTGTATAACAAAGTTCCCTGCCAAGAATTAGACCAAGCCCGTTGGCATCCACTACTCACTTTTACCACCCTTTAAATCACTCTACCAGATCCCTCAACAAGTGCTTTGTCATGCTGAAATGTGACACTGAATCTATGTTATCTTATAAAACGCCATGACAGGAAACATCTTTACATCTAAACATGTTTTAAGGGGGTCAGGTCCTAATTCCCAGCCACACCAAAACCTAATCAACAACATAAACCTTTAGGCGGACAGCCCCCTGGAAAAGCTTTCTCTCTCGTCGTCAAACACTCACTTGGATCGAGATTCATGACCTGCCTGAGGAAATGGGAGAGAGATGGCTCCGTTTTGCCCGAGAGATGAACCATAAATAAAACGTGAACTTGCGTTGACTTTCAAACCTCTGCACCTTATCAACTGCCAGTCACTGTGAGATAAAAGGCTACCCCCAAGGACAACTTGCAATCATCATAAATAAAAGAGGAATGGTTTCAGAGCTGTTGTTGTCTTCATGACTGCGCCGACTGCAGCCTTGTTAAACATGCGGTTTTCCCCTGCCACGATACCTGCA